ACTGAAGTAACATCTCAGAAGATCGCGAAGTCGTTATCGAAAAAGAAGAAAACCCGGACAACTGCTGCTAATCGCGAAGCTAAGGCAGACAGACAACGATGGCTGGCCAAAGTTCGCTGCATATTAGGCTCCAGTTCCAGCCCCACACGAGGAGTGCGAATGGAACTCTTGCCAGAACTCTTCAACCGACGACACAAGCTAAGATAAAGATGACGGACATGCCCAAGATCACACATCACAACCATCTGGTCACGAAAACGCCGACTATCACGAAGACAATCACCGATAACGATTCTGTCAACTCAAAATCGACGAGGGCAGAACCGACGAGGAAGAAGAGACGACGACGAAAGGCGAAGCTACACCACGGAACAGCAACCACCAACCACCAAAACTATTCACCGTAAATTCTCTTCTGTGTGTAGCTCCCATAAGTATGTCTAAATCTATACAAATCTATGCATTTGTTGTAATTTGTGCCTACCAGATCAACTTCTTGCTTGCTCGCCCGGAGTGTTGATGATCTATGAATCATCAACCTCGACACCAATCTAATAGCTTACACTCATAAACACAGCTATATCTCAATTTCTAAGTACAAACGATTTTAGGAGGTTTTGATTGTATTTATTTATTTACATTTCAACAGATTTCCCCTCCTCCTTGCTCGCCCGGAGTGTTGATGATTTAATCATCAACCTCAGCAATTCTATAATCCTTATAGCTTACGGGTATTCCCCATAGGCTATATTCCCCAATCGCTTATATTTAAGTGCCGTATCACTCAGCAGTGAGTGGCACCTATCTTCCAGAGGCCGCGCCAAGCCGCGGCCTTTCTTGTGTATATTTCTTGGACAGCCTGATTGTGCACGGGTCAGCTCCGCCTTGCTACCTATATAAGGAGCCCCCGAATGTATTATTGGTTGCTCCCCCCGGTTCAACACCGGGGTTCGTCTGTGGATAAATTATTATCGACACCACTATCGCCTACGACACTTGGTTCCCACCAAATATATATATAAAACTCAAAAATTGTCAGTTTGGAGGGTATGTGCGTTATAGAAATGCGAGCCGCTCAACCAACTCAGCTGAAACTTTGCACACATATGTTTTCGACCCCTGCGCAGATGATAGGCTACTTTTTGCGGCGATTCGTTTGGTCCTTCTATCGATTTATTGATTTGTTTACGTTTTTCTAAGGAATTGAAGGCTTATCATGTTCAGTCAAGCATTTTCCCATAATCTGTAAAGGAGGGCGGTGAAGCTCATTTTAACCTCATTATCACGAGGATGCGGTTTGAAGCGGATGTCACTAGGGTAAGTCATCCATAACATATAAGGGGGGGGGGCTTGCAGTGCAAGTGAACGGAACAAGGCCCGGGCTGGACCGGGAAAGCCAACTAGTATACCATATAATCAAAGCAATACACATCCTGAGCTTGAAATCAAAAGCGCTTGACATATGCTGCAGGTCCTTGCTTGCTGCTTCACAGCGCATATACGTAAAAAAATGCCCAGCATTTTTAGTTTGCTAATGTTTTACATAACCGTTCTCAGATCTCCAATTCAAAAATCCTTTGTTGGTAATCTAATGATATAAAAAATACCAACGCAATTCAAGCAAGGCCTTTTCCAAATTGGCTCTGCTACTTTTTAGAATTTCCATCTGTTTTAATGACTCTGAAGATTCACCAACTTATCGTCTAGAAGCACCAAATAAGGAGGTGCTTTAATCTAAGTACGAGTTGTTAAGAAGAGAAAGGGGCGCAAGCTATGGCAGGCGTGTGCCAAGGTTGAGCATTAGCTATTCTTCTTGCTCATTATGTTGCAGTTAGCATTAGTTTTTGGAAAGCAAAGCTCAATGTGTTCTTGCTCTGGATGAAATAATCGAAAATGTAAGGCCACATTAAATAACGATTCATTCTTTCCCAAAAACATCCTTTTCGAAGCACTCCATTCCTACGATGTTTCGGCAGTGGCTTTTTGCAGCTTCAATCTCGATCCCGAACTTGTAAGAAGTACGAAGAGCAGACATAAGCCAAGGCTAGTGTAGACCGTCATTCGCTTGTCTTTTCGGCCTCCCTCGGTGAGAGAGCTGCTGGAAACTAAGCAGATGCTCTACACTACGGGACACAACAACCATTCGGCTTTCTTCCATTCAAGAATTTCCCTCAGACAATCTAAGGAAACTTCTCGAAAGTTTCAGCGGGATCTCCTGAAGATCATCTGCGGAAGCACCGCCATCGTCTTCGGGAAGTTCCCTAAGGCCTAAGGCATACCTCGCGCGATTCCGGTCGCTGCGTGATTCGGCACAACAGCGACTCTTCGTAATTCATCGTTAATGCGCTGTCTTCGGTCAGAACTTGCTCCATTTGCAAAAACTTACACAAGCTACTCAAATTTGTGCCCGAAAGCACGCACGATAATTTTGTAGGAATTCGGCAAGTCGCCAAGTCGCGTGAAAATGGCGATTCGGCCGAATCGCGTGAGGTATGCCTCAGGCCTGAAGGCTTTCGAGAACTTCCGATGTTTTGGGAGCTTTAGCAGGGCTTTTTTACTTGCCTGTGCACCATCGCAAAAATATTTCCTGCTCCTTTCTTTGGATGCTACTTCATACACATTGTTACACTCATGAAAGTAGAAAATAAATATTATTTATTTATTTGTTTTCTGTGGCAATGTAATCGGGTAGAAACGTTGCGATGGTAATAAAAGAACCTGCCGAAAATATACTCTAGTGATCCAGATAGTTAGAGTTCGTGAAAGCAACAACTGAGCGTTGATAGTGAGTTTGATGCATGATGCATTACAAAAAAACCAGAAGAACAGAAAGGAAAGAATAAATATAAGAGGGGGCTGATGTAATATCCGTATTAAAAATGAGGAATGGTAGCAGTATCTTGTCAGTGGGCAGAAAACTCGCGGATGGACTGGCTATACGTCCCTTATGTGTAGCGCCATTCTTCTCCAATCCTTTTTGACATTCGCGCTTTATTTTCTCTTCCAAATCCGATCTGCGCTGTTTTGCACTCCTGAAAGAAAAGGTCGATTCATAGTTCAAAAGTCTAGATCTATACCTTTGAGGGAACCAGTTTTCTTTAATGAACGATAGTATCTTATGTACATCCTGCAAAATTCAGATTTAATGGCGAAAATAGTCAAAACTGTAGAAAGCTTCCAGCGCTTCGGAAATGCAAATTCCAGTCTGAGTACTCCGATATGACCTCTGCTCAAGAAAACTGCTGAACTTTTTGTCACGCTCGTCGTCACTTTCGCCTAACGATAACCAAAAGCTGAAATGCTATTCATCAGAGAAACCCTCATTGAGAACGCCAACGCACCTATCACGAGTTCTCAAAGCATCGAGCCTGTATCCTTGCAGATCATAGCGCCCTAGGATCCAATGCATCCAGCACAAAGTCTTGAAAATTCGTTTTTCGTCCTCAAAACGGTCCTCAACGAATCTCGTTTTCGTTTGGTTATTCAAGGAAAAATCGAAAATTTTGAAGCTGTGTCATATCTCCAAAAAACCGATTATCTGCTTTTTTGCCCTGAAAATGCTTTCACATGTACTCGCTCCAGAAATCTGCTTTGAGTAGGAAATTTTACAAATTTCGAAATTTCTGAAATTTGCATGTCTCAAATCTGGGGCCAAATTTCGAATCGAATCTCAAATCGATTAGAATTAAAATTCAAATTCAAATCAAACCCAAATCGCGTAGACCAAATTTTGAACCATTCCGCAGGTTGGGGGCTTCGAATGGCACAAACTTTCTTCTGGGCCATAAGCATCCACCCAAAAAATAGCGGGCATTGTTTCAAAGTGCATAGCATTAGCAAGTTGATTGCTGATTGAGCACAATATATGGAAAATTATCAAAGACTGTTTGTGACTTGCTTAGAAAGCGCAGTGGGTCTTTCAATGGTTCTTTTTTCATAACTGCGACTGACAGACATTTACGAGTCATATGAGTCACTGCAAATATGGTTTTCAACTTGCATTCTGACGCAAAGAGGAGTACACTCGTACTTGTTCTTGAAATTTTGCATTAGTGTGATGTTCCCTACCCCGCAAATAGAGCGATCATAGAGGTGGACTGTGCACCGAAAACTTATGTTATTGACCTATATAATAAAGTCTCTTACTACATACAATCAACTTTGTTTTAGCACAATTCGCAGTTTCAAACGGAATTCATATCTTCTACTTGAATTTCAATGCCAAATTTTTTGTACCTCCTCCTCATACCGCGACGTAGGCACGCAAGGGACAAGCAAAAAGTGCATCGATAGCGGAAAACTAGGAAAGACGCTTGTCACAACCAAATGTATGCATCTACTCATTGGACAATGCTACTTAAACACTTCAAGTTTCACTGTTCTTGCTCAAAGTAAACAATGTAAGCGGATCGATCTCAGTTTGCAATAAGAGAATTAACAATTTTGATGTATATGAAATTCACGTATTTGAGAAAAGAGGGTAAGCGAAAACAGAAATGCACTCTCAAATGCGCAAATCTTAAAGGCAGTGGCTCGGGAAAATCGCGACTCGGGGTCGCATCTGCGTGGCTTTCTGGACCAGCTGGACCACCTTTCGACTCCCTTTTATAGGGCTTTTACATCAAATTGTGAAGGAGTGCGTTGGTATACGTCAAAAGCAAGTGAGAGGTTAAAAAAGTGTGCATTATTACAATTCCCTCTAAATTAGCTTCAAAAGGTTGCTTTGTTCAAGAAAAATCAAGAATTAAAGAGTCCTTCATACCGGCTTCCATCCGCCCGAACCCTATGTGAAAGGAGGGCGTTATCATATAATGTTATAAAAGATTACTCATCACATGCGTGTTATCACTTCTGACAATCCTTACCACTGTTTGTCTCACCTTCATAGCAAACCCTTCTTCTGATTTCTCAGTTGATTTACTGCATCATTCGCTTCACTTAACCGCAATGAAAATGATGTGCAGCACTGCATTCTAACAATAAGGTGCAAAAATATTCTGATGGGAGAAACCATTGCATCTGCTGTGTGTAAGCTATTGAGTAATCCTAGATTGCGAGATTTCTACCTGCTTCGGCATATCAAACACTCCGAATTTTGCGGCAAGCAACAGAGACTCGAGCAGTGAACATGGGACTGAATTAAATATATTTTGATTTCTTTTGGGAGCTTAATATCCTTGCCATGATAAAAAAATTTTAAAAAGAAGAACATGGAAAACTGTTCCAGATCTTGAAAACGTAAAAGAATTCAGCTCCTTTCCATTTAGAAAAATTCTTTAGGGGAGTCTAGAAAGATCTGTACAAGCGTGGAAGTCTGATTTTATCGAAGTTTCACTCATTTTTGCTTTGGGAAACAGTATTACCTTACCAAGTACATTGATGTTTCAGATGATTGTATTTCTCTTTTTTGTAAAACCTTGACATGTTTTGTATATATTGTTCAATTGTTTTAAGTCGCAACAGGCTTTCAAAGGAACATTTTATTTACTGAGGGAGAGCTAACACCCTTACGCTCCTCACTAGGAACATTTGGTAAGCTGTTCAACTTGAGAATTGTCTGCGTCACAATAGATAAGTCAAGTATACGGTTTGGAGGAAGTGTCTGGTGGTATAGATCGTTTGGTTAAAGAGTGACTGACTCGCTTTCAGGCCTCTGAAGACGGCATTTAGCCGAAACGTCGGCAGTGAATATAGTTCCTTTAAAAATCTGTTACGGCTTAAAACAACTGAACAATGTTTCAGAAGACTTTCCGAGACTTATCGTCAACATTGTTGTGGGAGTCTCAAAAGAAGTGGAACTCGCTCCCCTGTACAAAGGCACTCAGAGTCAAAAGGGTTTTAGACATTTTGCGGGAGAACATCTTCAAGGTTGAGTGCGCAACGTGCTGATGAAACAACTCTATCTATTTTGAAGAAAATGAAATACATTTCTATCAGCTTCAAGTTAGAAAAATATTTATTTCAGTTTCAACATAGAATTCCTAGAGATAGCTCTGTGATTTTTTACGGGTAAGAAACTTGTAACGCTTTTGTTGAGAGAGGTTTGGTAATTTGAGGACTATGAGGCCTCTTGCTGGTAATGGGCGAAAGCTATGACTCAGAGAATCGCCGGTGGTAGACGGCGAAGCGATTTGTAGGCAAGCGGGCACCGGAAAAATAGTTCGCTGATTTTTTGCAATCCGTTTGCAAATATTTGGAAGATTGCGCCAATTGTAGAGAAACGCTCAGAGAACAATCACTACTCTTCAACAGATAAGTTGCGGCGCAGGTCGCATTCTCGTGAACTTTCCGCGAGAATATACAAATTGTTGAGGGCTGCACGGTCCCTTGTCAACGACCGTAGCCCGTAGGTATCTTCCGCTGAGAAAAAGTACCCCAAATTCTGATAATGAAACCATTGATTACACTTCTTCAGATAATCGCCGGGGGCAGGCGGCCATGCGAGTTATAGGCCGACGGACACCAGAAAATAGTTCGCTGACTTCTTGCGGCCCGCTTGCAGATATTTGGAAAAACTTTGCCAATATATTAGACGAATGCTCGAAGGACAATTGCGACTTTTCCACAGATTAGTTTCGGCGCAGTGGCCGCATTCTCGCGGAGCTTCAGCGAGAGTACGCATAATTAATGAGTTTACACACTGTGCTCGGAAGCGTTTATTGATAACGACCGTGTGCTTATATATTATCTCTATCAAAACATCAGCGAAAGCATCATCTAGAAAGTCTACATACTATACAGAGCGAGGAGCATCAAATCATGACTCATTTCTCCCGAAGTCAGCCATAACATAAACATAAGACAGTTGGAAGAAAAGGAAATTCTGTAGAATTACAGAGAACTCCCGGTTCACTCATCTAAAAGACGAGGATTTTGCAGACTTCAGAAGTGACCTAATAGAACAGCGTTCGCACCTGTACAATGCTTACGTGAAGATACAAAAACTCGACGAGCAGTGGTCAAATGCACGCTCATCCGACACCGCCGAAGAGGAGATATACAATGATTATGTGAAGAAATATGGAGACTACAGCACCGCCGTTCAAGACGCAGTTGATTTGCTCGAAGAAATTGATGACATACTCAATTCCTACGACAAGGAACTCATTCGACGGCAACTCCCTCTACCTGCAGAAAATGACGAAAGAGTACCACACACTGCACAAATCCAAACCAGAGCAGCATACTACCAGAACGCCACAGAATCCACAATGAACTTCGTCGATGCTTCAATCTTGAGCAGGCTTGACCTTCCAGTTTTCGATGGTAACTTACTCGACTACCCCGAGTTCATGGCACGGTTCTCGACCTTGATTGGTAACAAAAAAGATCTCGACGATGCTACAAAGTTCTCACTATTAAAGTCTTGCCTAAAAGGACGGGCCCTCCAGTCGATTCACGGCTTAGCACTTACGGCACACAATTACAGCATTGCACTAGACATTCTCAAGTCGCGATACGATGACAAGGTAACCACATGTCATATTCTTTTCACGCAACTGGCGAGCCTCCCAGCCTGCGATGAACAAGGTAAACACCTGCAATCGCTGTACAATAAAATGTACTCGCTTACGCGCCAGTTCTGCTCGTTCGAAGATGATACGAAGGAGATAGCACTCGGAGCAATACTTCTGAACAAATTGCCGCGATTCGTGCGCAGCATGATCTACGACAGAGCAGGGAAGACACGTAATCTCACACCAAGTGAACTACTTCAGATATCAACGGATATCGTACATAAAGAAGCAACGCTCCAAGAAATCGAATACTACAACAGGAGGACGGATCGATGTGAAGACATTTACTTCGCATCACACGCTCAACGCAAAAGATCGACTCCGTATACGCAGAAGAGGTTTCCCTCCTCAAAGACCACCTCAAATGAAAACATCAAGCCGCCTTCGCTAAGGATCAAGGCATGTTCCTTCTGCGACTCCAAGGAGCATAACGCCATTAGATGCACTACATGGCCGACTGCGCAGCAAAGAATACAAGTGATAAAGGAGAGAAAGCTCTGCTTCAACTGCCTTTCGCCAAAGCATCGCACCAAAGAATGTCCGTCTACAAGAACTTGCCAACAATGCGCCAAACGCCACCATACTTCTATCTGCCTGCAAAATCGGCCGCCATCCCAGCAGACATATCAACAACGCCGTCCACCTGAAGACAGAGAAAGCAACAGAAGATCAAGAGAAATGTCGCAAATGCATTTCGCCGAGGGAAGTCCCAACGTCAACCAAAGCAATCCACAGGTAATTACTGAACAAAACGATATTGTAGCCGTTGTTCAGCATACGCCACTCAACAAACAGCCGATACTACTCATGTGCGCTAATGTTGATGTTTCCAATCCCGAGACACCAAACGAGCGAATCGCTGCCATGGCATTCTTTGACAGCGGATCCAGCAGAAGCTATATCACTAAGGAACTCGCTAAGGAACTGCACCTATCGCAAGGCCAGATGGAAGAGGTATCAATATACACGTTTGCCTCTGGTAGTCCTCTCTCGCTTCTCACGACGCTTCACAGTATTGGGATTTATACGAGTAAGGGAGGCCAAATTTTGTGTGTCAAGGCCATCGAAACTCTAACAAAGGAATTGAAGATTGTACAGCAAAATTTTGAAGATTCCGCGACTCTTGTCTCCACGAAAAAGAAGCCCTCACTTCTGATTGGCGCCGACTACTTTTGGGATGTCCTCTTCTTTGATGATTTTTACATCCAATCGATCAGCAGTGGATATCACCTTGTGCACTCTGCTGTGGGCGACATTATCACGGGAAAAACATTGTGGCAAAGCAAGAACATGGAGCATTGCTTTAATATAGACGAATCTCAAGAAGAAAATCTTGATAAGCTGGTAACGCAACTTTGGCTGCATGATGATGTGCATGATTCCTATAGTGAGGATGATAGTAAATGCCTGAGAAATTTTAACGAAACGATCTATTTTGACGAAATCGAAGGTCGCTACGTCGTACAACTACCATTCAAAGGAGATAAAAGAGACCTTCCTAATAACATTCAGCTTGCTTACGCCAGACTACTCCATAATATGAAGCACTTGCAGCACTGTCCCGAAACACTGAACAGGTATCATGCCTTGATACAAGAACAACTCCGGAAAGGAATTATTGAAGCAGTGCACGAGCCAAAACTACCCAAACTATGTCACTATCTCCCCCACCATGCTGTGATTTCAGAAGAAAAACGAAGCACTAAGCTACGATGCGTTTATGACGGTTCCGCAAAATCGAAAGGAAAACCAAGCTTGAATGAACTGCTCTACAGGGGTCCAGTGTTTCTTCCCGACATTACAGGAATTCTACTCCGAATACGACTACCAAAGATTCTCATCTCCAGCGACATTGAGAAAGCATTTCTCATGGTAGGATTGAATGAAGAAAGTAGGAATTTTACGCGCTTCCTCTGGGTGAAAGACCCAAAAGGACCAATAACACCGGAAAATATCGTCACTTATAGATTTCGACGTGTTCCTTTCGGACTAATTGCTTCTCCTTTCCTGCTTGCAGGAACAATTCAATACCACCTTCGAATGGCCGATACCCCTTGTCACAAAAAATTTTGAAAAATACATACGTCGACAATATCTTACACGGAGTGGACACCGTTGAGGAGGGGAAGAACTCTTACGAGGACTCTAAGCAGCTTTTCCAAAAAGCAGGCATGAACTTGCGTCAGTTTACCAGTAACTCCGAAGCACTCAACCAGTTCCTGAAAGAGAAGGAAGAAGAGAAAATGGTCATTCAAAACAAAATTTTGGGAATCTCATGGGACACAGCTGAAGATACCTTGGCTGTACGACTACCAACGACGCCATCAGAAGATATCATATGGACGAAGCGCAAAGTTTTGAAGATCATCGCGAGCACATTTGATCCAATGGGATGGGTTTCCCCCGTTTTATTCAGAAGCAAAGTCTTTCTCCAGTCACTGTGGAAAGAAAATCTGCGTTGGGATGACACCCTCCCTGACGATATGACTGAATTGTGGAAATCAATCACCGCGAAATGGACCATCCCTATTATTTCGATTCCTCGACGACTGAGCGTGAGTGAATTACATGAATTAGCCTTTCAGTTGCACGTTTTCACCGATGCCTCCAGCATGGGGTACTGTGCAGTAGCCTACCTAGTACAAGAAAGAGAGCAGAGAAGCTCAATTCTGATGTCAAAAAGCAGACTAGCACCTTCAAAAAGGTCCATCTCTATTCCCAGACTAGAACTCTCAGCCATTGCTCTCGGATCACAGCTCTTAAAGCACATACGCAACAGCTACGCAGACGAAATCGATTTTGAAAAGTCGGTCATATGGTCCGACAGCAGTGTCGCGCTTATGTGGATCAAAAGCAACAAACATTTGCCAGTCTTCATCCAGAATCGAGTTACAAAGACACGAGAAAACGCTCCTGATGCTCAACTTCGGTATGTTCCTGGCGATATAAACCCTGCTGATGTTGGAAGCAGAGGTGCAAATATCACGGATTTGAAATCCTTTGACCTTTGGTGGAAGGGCCCAGACTTTCTTTGTCAACCTGAAGAACGATGGCCGATCGATATAACCGACGACCCAACGGAAAAAATCTGCCTTTCGCAAGAAAGTGAAGTCGCGACGTCACCAAAGTCGAATATAATTATCACTGTGGAAAGATTCAGTTCCTGGACACGACTACTTCGTACGATGCAAAAGGTGTTACTCTTTGTCACGAAGAAGATAAAAAGAACAGGCAAAATCTTTGGTGACAGTTATTCGTCACTATACAAAAGTGCAGAAAGGATTCTTTTCCGATTTGCACAATTGCATTATCCACCGTCAGAAGAGACAAAGCAACAACTGAGTCTCTTTTACGACGAACAGGAAGCATTATGGAAATCAAGAGGAAGAATTCTGAACTCAGAGCTACCTATCCACACGATCTCACCAGTCTTCCTACCACGAGAAAGCTACATAACCTCGTTGTACGTATTGCACACACATCAAAAGAACAATCACAGTGAGATTAATCATACTCTAAATGAATTACGTCGCAAAGTCTGGATTCCAAAAGGGAGATTAACGGGAAAACGAGTGATCCACGGATTATGCTTTCATTGTAAACGCTACAAAGCACAACCTTATCAACTACCACCATTTCCAGTGCATCCACCTCAGAGAGTACGAAGGCCGAAATATCCCTTCGAGAATTCGGGGATGGACTACGCAGGACCACTTATCTGCAAGACGTGGGAAGAGACGAAGGTAAAATACTGGATTCTGCTCATCACATGTCTAAATACGAGAGCGATCTATGTTGATCTACTTTTGGACATGACTACACAGACTCTGTTCCAAGCACTTCGACGATTTTTCGCCACCACTGCGTATCCGAGATGGATTCTTTGCGACAATGCGAAGAGCTTCAGAACAATCAATGAACTACAAGATTGTTTACAGCTGAAGAACAACGAAGATGACGACATCATAGACTACTGCGCACAGAAAATGATTGAGTTCAAATTTATCCCCAGCTTCAGCCCGTGGCAAGGGGTGTTATATGAAAAAATGGTGCATATCTTCAAAACCTCATTTAAGCATGCTTTGGACAATCGGATACTTCATATTGAAGAACTACGAACTCTCGCAAAAGAAACGGAGACCATAGTAAATCACCGACCTCTGACGTACATTGTACAAGATGATAGAACAATGCCGTTACGGCCTATTGATTTTATTCATCCATGGACAACACTTTCTCCGCCGAGAATAGGTGAAAAAGATCAACCTTTCATCCCGACAACAACAACGAAGGAGAAATTATTGGAGGACTGGAAGTTTCTGAACACAACACTGGAAAGGTTCTGGAAGCGATGGACATCAGAGTACTTAATTAGCCTCAGAGAGCAGTTTCGTGATAGACATCCACATCCACGAATATCTGTCAATGCACAACCAAAGGAAAATGATTTTGTCTTAATTCAGGAAAAATCTCTCGAATGAGGGCAATGGAAGATCGGACAAGTCGTTTCTTCTAGCGATCAATATCAGAGATCGGCGGAAATACGCTTGCCATCAAGACGCATGATTACACGACCAATCAATCTACTTTACAAACTCGAAGTTCAAGGGGAACAACAAGATTCTTCAAAGGACACCACTAGCAGGCAGGAAACATCACAAAGAGTACTACAAAATCAACATCCTATGATGACAAGATCGAAAACAGCAGCAAATCAAATGCATCTATTACTGACCACCACGCTAACACTCATGCTTATCCACTCGTCAGGAGCACATCCACGCTGTCCAGTGGAAATCAATACACCAAAGACGATCATATACGCTACAAACTGTATCAGCAAGGGACTGGCCATAGCAAGACACTCCTTTCATGGAAAGGTAAAGCTGTGCTGGTTTCCGCTGTCATGTCCTAATGGAGTGATCCGAGTAGACATTCCCTTCCGACATAACAGAGGACTTTGCGGACCACATTGTCCTTGTCCTGCATGGGCAACGGCATGCTCATTCAGCTCAAGCCCCCGACGAATTGCCTCAAAACTTCAGAATATACCAATGCATTTAACGACGTATCTTCCATCTCACGTGTGCTCGTTTTTACCCTCTTCAGATTGCGACAAAGAAAAACGCTTAGGAAAGTTCAATCAAGTTGAATTATACGACGGCACATTACTAATGGTGCCCGAACTTCACATTGCCATCAAGGATTACCTCGACTCCACGGACTACCTCTGTTTTGACAAGAACGGACTGCAACGAAAAGCAAAACGTCCCTATACGGGATCATCCTACTTTTGCAATGAAAACAAATGTGATGACAATGCCGCATTATTTTGCACATTTGGAACACCAAGTGCTGTTTTCACAACGTCGAACGTATCCTTTCTAGTGAAAGCTTGGGGAGTCACAGTGAAGGAGTACTACGGTCACCTCACACCTTCCAAACTAGGGAAAAACTCAGCTCATTGCTCAAAAGGAGGAGTCCCTTTAAGCATTACAACTCCTACTAATGCGACAGAAGTCTGCATTGCTGATTACTGTCATTTCATTCAAGATCCAAAAAACTCTAGCATCGTTTTCCCAAATAGTCTAGTTGCCTTTGCGTATACCGTATCGATTTCGTCGTGGGCATACGGAGCACTCATTCAAAAAGAAGACTTAAGGTGTCAATCATACCCGGTATGTGAACTTATTGATTGTACAGTTTGCTTGGAGCTACTGCATAATCCAGATTGCTGGACAGGGACACAAGTCGCTGCTCTTTTCGGCTCAATCTTCGCTCTTTTAGTCATGACATGTATGATTTTGCCAGCACTTAAGAGCCTACTTTTCCTGATCAAGCTTCCACTGAAGATTGTGCACTTCATCTCCAAAATAATATGCTCTCCATTCTTCCGACGGAATAGAGCACGCTTTCCCCTCTATACAGGACATCGCAGAAAGATTCTTATCGCCGTTCTTTATTTTGCAGCATCAGCAAGGTGTTGCTCCGAAATAGTGTCCTTTTCAGCCTCCGAAGAAGCTTGCATTCAAAACAACGAGCATGAGACTTGCACTTTTAATCAAGCGACAATTGTGACGTTGCAACCGCTCGACCAAGAGACGTGCCTAGTGATGAAAAACAACAAAAACGACCCCGTTGGGATGCTCATTATAAGAATAACGGGAGTTTATTTCAAATGCCAAAAGAAGATTGAATTTCACACACGGGATCACCAGTTTTTCGTAGAATCCGTTCATAGATGTCGATTTGCAGGAAGTTGCCAACTACATACATGCGACACCACCAAAACAACCGACAAGATAGAAGAACTTTCGCCAACCGCCAATAATAACCCAGGTTACACGTTTTGCACAGCCAGTTGTGGCTGTCTGGCATGTGGAGGTTGTTTTCTTTGCATGGATAGTTGTCTTTTTTATCGCTATTATGCACTTCCTCAGTCACCAAAACTGTATACAGTTTTCAACTGCCCCGCGTGGGAATTCACAGTAGAAGCAAAAGTTACGAAACAACAAGGAATAAAGGCTGAAAGCATTGATGTTCGCTTGCAACTGGGAAAAACTTACGACTGGAACTCCGTGCGACTATCCTTAATTGGAACAATGTTACCACAACTACCAATTTTTGGTGCAACTTTCGGCACAGATGGCAACCTAACCGCAGTAACAAAGCCAGTTTATCGAGGACAAATGATCCCGCACACGATAGGACAACTACAATGCGCTAACGCCTCAGAAGCAGAAGCATTTAGATGCTCTTTCCCATCAGATGTTTGCACGTGCGCAGCAGCAATGAATCATGCGTCATGCTCTTGCAGTGATGGTGAAGTGAAAAAGGTATTTCAGACATCAAGTTTACCGCTGATCATGAAGAATGTGATGATATTCCAAAAACAAGATGAAATTGTCGCTAAAACAAACATAGGAAGCGCTATACAGCTACATATCATCACGGACAATATGAAGTTGGTATCGAAGCGGCAAAACACAACATGCGTCATCACGACGTCGGACATAGTAGGCTGTTACAATTGTTTATCGGCAGCTTACGCAAATATTTCGTGTCAATCACGCAATGGTGAAGTCACAGCTCAAGTCACCTGTGGAAATCAAGAACAGATAGCGGTCTGTACTCCGTCAGGTCATATAAACAAACTTGTGTTCGTTTTCTACTCTTCAATAGTGGAAGAAAATTGCACACTGGCTTGCCCGGGAGGATCCACCGAATTTTTGCTCAAAGGACGGCTGCACTATGTGGACGATGTACCAGTTATACCCGAAAAACCTATTGGTATTATGCCATCCGAATCAAATTTCAACCTTTCTTTCGCTGCAGATGCTATAGCTTTCATCGACTCTTCTTTGAAGCACTTTGACAAATTTTTCTCTTCGATCTTTTCCTTAAAATATATTCTACTTTTCTTATCGTGCATCGTCATTGTAATTGCTTTTATCTCTTTATTTCGGACTATGTCTCTGACACTTCTTAAGAAAATTATTTGAACACTACCTTCTCTGCCGGGAGTTCTCTGTAATTCTACAGAATTTCCTTTTCTTCCAACTGTCTTATGTTTATGTTATGGCTGACTTCGGGAGAAATGAGTCATGATTTGATGCTCCTCGCTCTGTATAGTATGTAGACTTTCTAGATGATGCTTTCGCTGATGTTTTGATAGAGATAATATATAAGCACACGGTCGTTATCAATAAACGCTTCCGAGCAAGTGTGTAAAATGAGGGCCGCACGGTCCTTTGTGAAGGACCGCACAGCTCTTAGGTACTTTCCGCTGAGAAGTACTCCAAACTCGGGTAATCGAACCATCGATGACACCTCCGTTATGTAGAGTATTACCTTTGCTCGGCGTACGCCCAAAACTACGTAAAAACAGTCCGAGCCCCTGCTGGAAGTTTGGCCAGCGCTTGCTGAAAGAAATTATTTGACAAGCGCCTGGAATATTATGTTTTGCTGCCCGCTGATAAAACACGGAAGTATCGCTCGATGAAGATTTGGCCACGCCCCAAAACTTTGCTGACCGCTTGCAAAAAAGCGCGAGTCTGCGGAACGCCTGCTCCCAGCGATTATCTGTGCAAAAACGTCCAGCCTGCTCCGTAAGCCACCTGTGCCCCAATCTCTGGTGCAAGCTAAGTTGTGGGGAGTGTGGATTCGAAATTTGTGGATGATGGAAAGAGAAAGAGTGTAGAGAATTCTGCAAAGAATTTGCAGTAGTTTTGCTAGCGAAATTCTGAAAATGATGAGAAGATTGTTTAATTTTCATAAGAGACTATCTGGCATATCCAGCTCCGCCCGGCTTTGTCAAAACAATATTGAAGGCCACCATCCCTATATTTGTACAACCTTCACGTGTTCCACTTCTAAAGGCCCATTCCCTATCTCCGTTTTGTTTTCGTAAGCAGTATGCACGATTACCCACCTGTACCAACCAGTGGCGGTCCCAGGATTTCGGACCGGGAGGGGGGGGGGGATGAAAATTTTTTTGGGGTGCTTCTTAAAATTTTTGCGGGTCCAACCACCTATCTGGAAAAGGGGGTGGCGTCAGCCAGGCTTCAGAAAAAAAATTTTTTTAAGGCTAAAAAATTTTAGAAATTATTTTGATTAATTACAAAAATAAACAAGTCGTTTGCACATTTTTATAACCCATATAAGTAAGTTTCAAAAATTTCGCGACCGATTCTCGGGGGGGGGGGCGCTCCTCCTGCCCCCCCTCGGTCCGCCACTGGTGTCAATTGCAGCCCCGTAGCTCAGATTTCGCAAAAAGTCAAATCGGCAAAAGTGATAGATCATTTCAAAACTGATATTGTATTGGTAATCACCATGCTCACTTACCCTCTCCAACTCCCAACCCCGTAGCTCAAGGTTTGGAATTCGATAAAATCGATACTAATTGATAGCGAAACGGAGCCTACGACAGCCGCCCCGAAGTGTATGTGTACAAAGCATGGTCCGGATCGGTTCAGGAATGAAATCTTCTATTCGGAACATAGTACAATCAGACAGACAAACAGACATTCAGCTTTATATATAAGATTAGCGACATTACGGGCTCGTTAGCAAGCGGGTTGAAGCAAACACATAGGTAGATGCTGTTTCAAACCCATAATTTTCCCAAATGAATTCCCTATTCAGCAATATATGTTTCGGAGATTTTTTTTGCGATTTGGGCGGAAAGGTTATCATATCGTTCTAGAATAATTTCTGCTCTGAGGATCGCCGCACATTTCCATTCCACAATGTCATTCTCGCTCTTAAGCTCACATTTTGGAGAAAAATCTAACTTGAGCAGAGCAATTGCTCTCACAAGCAAGATTTTCGGAGATTTTCCCAAGATTTAGGCGGAAAATGGGAAATAGTTAAAAATAGCTCTGCTGACATGAATGAGATGTGAAAAACAAACGAAAGCGTAAGAATACTGTGGAATGTATGCGGATTAATAATGGTAGCTTCCATTCCTGACCTTCGTAACGATCACCATCTCGCATATTTCAACACACATCGCACGCGCCTGCGTATTTCAACGTCTTTGCAGTAGCAGAGCGCACCATGCGTACGTCGTGATCTCTCGTTCAAAACAAACTTCATGCCGTACATGAGGCGGACCAATCTAGCCTTCGCGTTTTTGGGATTCGTATATTATAGGGGAAGATTCAGATTATTGGTGGTAAGGAACAGATTTGCGTTTATTTGAGAAAAATGGGAGAACGAAAGATTTGCCGTATTTTCGGTAAAAGTTACAGAGCAAAATCAATATTTAATCTGGTTAAAATGCCTTCATGTACAAGGTGAAACATCGACACGTTAGAGAGGGATCTTCAAGGAAAAGTGTTTTTTGTTAGAAAAATTTTGTGTGGAAGGAACTGTGCTTTGAAAATATTCGAAAAGTGAGAGCACACAGCATCTACCAATGTATCTGCTCTAAGCACTATCTTTCTGGATGTTTTTCTCCAGCAGTAGATGAAGTGGTACAGGACTTTGCTGCACAGCCTGAAATTTTGGCAAACCCGCCTTCTTCATACTCTAAAAATTCGAAAACGTCTAAGTGAACGAAAACCTATTCGATTACAGAGAAAAGTACAATCCTCTAGGAAAACAACGGCTGCAACCAAAATGCAAGGTTAAACTGGGGGTCCGATTATCAGAAGACAGATAGACCATAGCCTAAATCCCAGAATCTCTAAAGATGCTTGAAACTGGAATCTATGCACTAACCTAAAACACCAGTTGACTCTTGGAACTGCCCAACCATTCCCGTTATCATCGCATTCTGCTTGACTGAGTGCTTCTCGAATTCATACATCGCTTACATTGTATGTTCATGCAAATAATAAAAGCGTTTCAGAATGCGTACAATAAAGCTCCTCTTCGTTCTATTGGTTCCATCTGAACGCCTTTGTGGACCTGAACAGCACTAAACAGTTCTCCAGGTTTGTGATTCACTTCAATAACAAATGAAGAAAGCTGATTTTGCAGAGGCTTGGAGAGATTCCGTAGTCTTTCTTATCTCTCTGTATCTAATGCAGGTTAGCGATATCCCCTATCTTATTACAACTTAAGACGCAGATTTCGGGTCTGATTGTGGTTTTGCGAAATTGCAGAAACCGGCGCTACCATGCTGCGGTTGCGACATGATGGCGCCGGTTATCCAAAGCCTTATAGCATTCAACCTCTTTTACGGAATGCGGCTATAGGTAAACTTTATTTTCGCACGTTGTAGGTAAACTTTATTTCCGAAAAATAATAGCTTAGAGTAAGGATACACAACTTGCCTTTTCTTCGCTACAGCCAGATCGACCCCCCCCCCCTGAGTTGTGTGTCAATCAAACCCCTTTGGATACCTACCGCAAGCATATGAAGGATATCCTACCATACCTGATGAGTGGTATTTTCTTGATTAGCGCTACAAAAACTCTCACAGACCAAGTTTTGGCAAATTCGGAGATTTCAATTACCGGGCCACGCAGCTAAAGCGATCATTTTTAAACACATTGACCTGACTAGCTTCGTCTTGAAGGTGAGTTAGCTAAAGCTAATCATTTTTGCACTCAATGCCGAGCACCAGCAATAACAACGCCAGACTTAGGACTCTAGTCGTCTTGTTCATTTTTCGTTTTGGTTTGCTTTCAGCGATCACTGCTTAGAGAATATGAGACGAATCAGGTCAAATCGTAGTAAGAATGAAAAAATTTAGATCACTGATTGACATAAATTTTGTCTTTCAAACGTTTTTAGTTGCAAAAATGTTGAGGCCAAAAAAGTGTCGCAGTCGCACATTTTTGGGGCCTATGTCATGTGCCAGACCCCAAAGTCTTCGTCGCTATGACGTTTTGACGTACATACTTATGGTTCAGCAGCATAGGCCCCGTTATCATCACAAAAGTGATGGGAGCCTATTTGTCGTCTTGTGTCTGAGTAATGATAGCTGAAAGCATACTGAAAAGAAGAATTAGAACAAGATTTTGGCTATTTGTACAAGTGCAAAAAAGATTAACCAACAGCTCCTCTATGAGAAGGTCAACCCTTGTTTGAAAATGATCAGCAGTTAGGTTGTTGAACTCCAAGATATGCTAAAACCTCTCTACGAGGATTATTTGAATAAGTCCCACATGCGAAAGCACGGGCAGATTCATTGAGTGGATACATCAGAAACTGCACGTTCAAACGGATCCACCGGGCTTCTCCCGCAAAAATGGTCCGTTGGTCCGTATTTCCACTTTTTGCGAAGTCATGGATGTGTTTGGCAAGTGAATATGTAAGCATGGAGCAGGCTCAAAAAAGTGATCAAAAGTCTTCTGCTTTCCAAAAACGGCGCCAAAAAGTATGTTTTGCGTAAATGGTCAATTCGCTAAGGTTTTATCTCAGTACTCGACAAGGTTTTTGCATAAAGATGTAGCTCATGGCGATTATGTTTTTTGGGACTACCAAAACAATGGATAATTCAGGAACCTATCTAAATTTGCGTTTGTTCTTCTGCAAGAAGTCGCTTCCACGCGAAAATAACCGATTTCAAGTGAAAAAGCTGTCAGTATGAGTAATTGTTTACATTTTATTCGTGATAATCGGGATGGGGCGGTGTAACGCCATCATTATGCGAGAGTGAGTAGGTCATTCAGATAGTAAAACCAGTGCGAGCCTCTGCGAAGCAGAGGTGACGCACTGGTGAGGAAATGTTGAGCGAACCGCTCTGCCAGTTAGGAGCGTAAACTCAAAACTTCTTCCTATTTTAATGTTCTATCACGTTTTGTATTAAATTTACAAGTAAATTATATAATCGACGTATAATTGTGTCGCTACCTTTGAGAACCGTGAAAAGCAATCTATGACGACATTTTAAAGCTGTTTGCTTTCTTGAATTTTGCTGTCAATCACTGAGATTGTTTCAGAAAAATCTGCACGCTGCGAGAGTAGGTGGACTCTCCTCGCCGAAACGGATGCTTGCTATAAGGTATTTAAACTTTTGAAACGGGAGTGATTTAAAGGCAGTGTCCGGGCAAAGACTCGATTTTGAGATTTTGTGCTTATACGGGCCCATTCGCCATGCTGAATCCGAAAATCCACATTGGAAAGGGCGAAAGCGGCGAAAAAGGCCTTCAATATAGGAGGGAAATCAGCAGGTGGGCGGGGCTTTCCCCAGCGCGATTTCACGCTCCCACCTCCCGGAGCGATTTTCTTGATTCCGCTAGCCGTTCTAACATCGCTACCGGCCAAGTGCGAATGATTGACTTGAAACCGGAAGCGAGAAGGTCGCTCCGGAAGCCGGGAACATGAATTCGCAGTGGGGAGGACCCCGCCCACCTGCTCATTTCTCTCCTGTGTTAGATGGTTAGCTGCGCCGCACAGTCGTTTAACAAGGAAGGGAAGGTTCGAAGTGGCCTTTTGAAATGAGATGTGTCCTGTCTTGTAGAGCTTGGAACGCTGATTTCAAATCTACCTTTACTATCTGCTGATGGCTTCTGGGCAAAGAGTTATGAAGGCTTTTAAGGGTAAAAAGTTATACGCAAGAGTAGTGTAAAATCAGTCGTAACATTTTTTATAGGATGTAACTGGTAGTCGGGTTAATCGGTGCAACAAATATTCTTGATTTAAATATACCAGTTCGCTGCTGCCTCATTTAAACATTGGGGAAAGGTTACCACTCATTTTACCCTATTTTTACATTCAGATTTTTACTCACAAAAACCTTCATAACTCCTCGCCCAGAAGCCCGCAGCAGATAGCGAAGGTAGATTTGGAATCAGCGTTCTAAGCTCCACAAGGCGATATACACCTCATTTCAAAAGGCCACTTCGACCAACCTTCCTTCCTTTGTAAGTGAAGACAAGACTCCGGGCCTGTGTCAGGGCCAGAAGAGGACATTTCGAACAATCTCTCTAGATATTAATATTCAAGCTTTGTTCATTACAGACACAGTCAAAATTGAAATTTGATGTTTTTGATGACAGATCTACATTCTTGAATGTAACGCCCATACTTTTCGGCCACCCTGTATATTCGATACTATCACATTCGGTGTAGACGAGTCAGTCTCTTACCACATCACAAGGATAATGATTTGTGTATTTGCGCTTATAGCAAGGTCTTGCAAGGCACTGCATTGGTGTGGAAACTCATTCGTCAAGTAAGGGATGCATGCAAGGGCTCGTCCCGTATGTACCCTATTTTCAGGTGTATAAGCCGCACCCTTTTTGCTCTAAACGCCAGCAGACCCAAGCGTGCAGCTGCGTGTGTGTCTCGCGAAGCGGTCGCTTTCTCGCACATTGCCCTCATAACCTGCCCCATGGTAACAGCCAGTCTTTGGGCGTGTTCGCCTTTAGAGCAAACAGAGTGCGGTTTATATATCTGAAAATAGGGTAGTTGAGATGGAAGATCTACTGCTGGAAAGTGCTTGAAAGCGATATATGTGGCTGCTTTGCCAAATGAAGAGACGGCATTCGTCGATTAACACTACGTACTCGCGTGTAGTCATATATTAGCAATGCAAACTTCGAATTCTTCGAAAAGACATATATTTATACAGACATATATACAACAAACAACAGACGCTTCATACTCGTTATTTTTCCGGGAACTCCTGAGCACTCATATAGCCATTTGAACCTTTACTTTTACAATGACTTCACAGACTTTCTTCGGGGAGACGTTCGACGATGCGGAAAATATGTGTAAAACTCTCGGCGCACATCTGACTTCAATTCACAGCTTTGAAGAAAATATTTTCGTAGCCGGTAAATCATTTTTTTTTGTTAAAATGAAAACGACATGGCTTGATTTGCGTTTCAGATTTGGCAAAAATGGACAGACCAGGCACGACTGGGATTGATTTTACTTGGATAGGACTACATCAAGCAAATAGCAGGAACTGGACCTGGACTGACGGCACAAAAAGTGATTTCTTACCGTGGGCAAAAGATTTTCCCGCGGGAATAGGAAAATGTGTGCTGGTATGAATTTTGTATAAACAAGGAATGGCTGGCGCAATCAATTTTCGGAGCTTAAATTTTAGGCTGGAAAGATTCGTCAATCTGCCAATTCTTTTTATAATTACCAAGAATGAATGCGAATGCAAGGGATTGATTTGCAATATGTTCTTAGTGCGCGATATCGCCAGCTACCATTTATGATACCGGGCTTGGAAAAATAACAACAAATGCTGGCCGCAGTGGCCGCATCTTCGCGGACTTTCCGCGAGAGTATGCAAAAATTTCGAAGGCCGCACGGTCCTTTGTGGAGGACCGCGCAACCCCCAGGTACTTTCCGCTGAGAGAAAGTACCTCAAATTTAGTAACTAAACCAACGGTGACACCTCTGCCACAAAGAGTCTTACCTGTGCTCGACGTAAGCCCGAAAATGCGTAAAAAGAGTCCGAGCGCTTGCTGAAAGTTTGGTCAGCGCTCGCTGAAAGAAGTTACTTGCCGAGCGCTTGCAAAAAATGCTGTATTGCTACCCGCTCAGATAATCGCCGGGGGCAGGCGGTCCGCAAACTCGCGCTTTTCTGCAGGCGGTCAGCAGAATTTTGGGGCGTGGCCAAACCTTCAGCGGGCGGCACTTCCTTTACGGTTGCATATTCTGCCACCGGGCAGCAATACAGCATTTTTTGCAAGCGCTCGGCAAATAATTTCTTTCAGCGAGCCCTGGCCAAACTTTCAGCAAGCGCTCGGACTCTTTGTAGGCATTTTCGGGCGTACGTCGAGCGCAGGTAAGACTCTGTGTGGCAGAGGTGTCACCGCTGGTTTAATTACTCAAGTTTGAGGTACTTTCTCTCAGCGGAAAGTACCTGGGGGTTGCGCGATCCTCCACAAAGGAACGTGCGGCCCTCGAAATTTTTGCATATTCTCGCGGAAAGTCCGCAAGAATGCGGCCACTGCGCCGCAGCTAATCCATAAACAAACCGCGATTGTTCTTCAAGCATTCGTCTTTAATTTTGCCAACTTTCTTCCAAATTTCTGCAAGCGGGCCGCAAAAATCAACGAACTATTTTTCCGGTGCGCGCTTGCTCAAAATTCGCATGGCCGCCTGCCCCCGGCGGTTATCTGAGTGGGGAGAAATGCTCCAAAAAATGAGAGCAACCCATTGCGCTCAGGTCTCCGATGCTCAGGTCTAGACTAAAGACGCGCAAAACTTGCAGAAACTCGATTATGAAATCCGATTCACACCCATCGTGTTGGTCAGATAAAGCTGCATCCGACTTATACTTGCTCCTGTACCTGGGCTTTCTTCCAAGCAAGAAATAGCTCATTGCAGCTTTCAAAAAATGGAACTCTCCACCTGTAACGAAATGCAACCAGCGCGTTTTTTGAAGAAAAGCACATGATATGCTTAATTTGCAGTGGCGTACCCACGAATTCCGTTCGGGGAGGGGGGGGGATTTTTTGATGAAGGTTAGCCACGCACCCGGGAAAAAATTTTGGTGTGTTTCGCAAGGTTTTGCTATTCCCTAACCCCAAAACGAAAAAGGGTTTTTATGAGGCTAAATTGAATTTTTGTATTTCTCACAATTTTCACGATTTTCTCATGTAAGTAACTTTCAAAAATTTCGCCATTCTCGAGGGGGGAGGCCCCCCCCCCCTCTAGAATGGCGAAATTTTTGAAAGCCACTGCTAATCTGTAATATAGGGTTGTCAGTACACTTAATCAAGATATCGTTGATTGGCAGCTACTTATGATGAAGGTATAGGTAATAACTTAGTAATTGCTGCTACACCTGCCAAAAATCGAACTCACGTATATCACCATGTCTAATTTTAGTATGTTTGTTTTAACTTCCTCTTTTGACCTTCCGAAGACCCTTGATAACAGGTTGAAAAAGTAAGAAATTCCCGTGACAAGTTTCAAACGTCCAATTGACTTTTTGAAATTTAAATAATTTTTTCCAATAGTTTTGATTCTTGCGATTGTGCCATGTTTGTCAAAGAAAGAAGGTTGAAACCTGGAAGCTCCGAGAAATTTGTTTATCGTTTTCCACTTTTCATGAACAAGTACTCAGATAATCGCCGATGGCAGGCGGTCGGCAACCCTGCGCTTTTCTGCAAGCGGTCAGCAAAATTTTGGGGCGTGGCCAAACCTTCACCAAGCGACACTTCGGTGTTATATCAGCGGGCAACCTCAGACAATCGCCAGGGGCAGGCGGTCCGCAAACTCGCGTTTTTCTGCAGGCGCTCAGCAGAATTTTGGGGCGTGGCCAAACCTTCAGCGGGCGCACTTCCTTCACTGTCTAATGCTCTCCCAGCGGAGAGCAACACAGAATTTTCTGCAGGCGCTCGTCAAATAATCTCTTTCAGCGAGCGCTGGTCAAATTTTCAGCTGGCGCTCGGACGGTTTTTAAGCAGTTTCGGGTGTACGCCGAGCAAAGGTGAGACTCTACATGGCAGAGGATTCATCGATGGTTTAATTGCTCAAGTTTGAGGTACTTTCTCTCAGCAGAAAATACCTGGTCCACAAAGGACCGTGCGGCCCCCGAAAAATTTGCATATTCTCGCGGAAAGGAATGCGGCCACTGCGCCGCAGCTAATGTGCAAGGAAACCGTAATTGTTCTTTAAGCATTCGTTCAAAATTTCGTTAAAATTCTTCCAAATATCTGCAAGCGGACCGCAAGAAATCAGCGAACTATTTTTCCGGTGCCCGCTTGCCCAAAAATGGCATGGCCGCCTGCCCCCGGCGATTATCTGAGACAACGCATAATTTTCTGCAAGCGTTTGTCAAATAATTTCTTTCAGCGAGCGCTGGCCAAACTTTCAGCAGGCGCTCGGACTCTTTTTACGCAGTTTTGCGCATACGCCGAGCAAATGCTCAGATAATCGCCGGGGGCAGGCGGCCATGCGATTTATGGGCGGGCGGGCACCGGAAAAATAGTTCGCTGATTTCTCGGGGTCCGCCTGCAGATATTTGAAAGATTTTTAGCGAAATTTTAGACGAATGCTTGGAGAACAATCGCGGTTTCCTTATAGATTTGCTGCGGCGCAATGGCCGCATTCTCGCGGACTTTCCGCGAGAATATGCAAAATTTTTGGGGGCCGCACGGTCCTTTGTGGAGGACCGCGCAGCCCCCAGGTACTTTCCGCTGAGAGAAAGTACCTCAAACTTGAGAAATTAAACCATCGATGACTCCCCTGCCATGTAGAGTCTCACCTTTGCTCGGCGTACACCCGAAACTGCTTAAAAACCGTCCGAGCGCTAGCTGAAAATTTGACCAGCGCTCGCTGAAAGAGATTGTTTGATGAGCGCCTGCAGAAAATCCTGTGTTGCTGCCCGCTGGAAGAACATTAGACAGTAAAGGAAGACCGCTCGCTGAAGGTTTGGCCACGCCCCAAAATTCGGCTGACCGCTTGCAGAAAAGCGCGAGTTTGCGGACCGCCTGCCCCCGGCGATTGTCTGAGTGTAAGACCTGCGTGGCAGAGGTGTATCGATGGTTTAATTAGCCGAGTTTGGGGTAAACCCTTTCAGCGGAAGGTACCTACGGGGTGTGCGGTCCTCCACAAAGGACCGCGCGGCCACAGTAATTATGCATATTCTCGCGGAAGCTCCGCGAGGATGCGGCTACTGCGCCGCAACTAATATATAGAAAAACAGCGATTGTTCTGCAAGCATTCGTCTAGAATTTTGCCAGTTTCCGGTGCCCGCCTGCACATAAATCGCATGGCCGCGTGCCCCCGGCAACTATCTGAGTATAGGCCGTCCGCGCAGGGCGCGGAGAGTGCGCAAGGTGTGTATTGCGCGTCACTCCTTTTTCCTAGTGCCCTTCGCCGCCTGTTTTCTCTGCGCTCCTTCAAGTCGTGAACTGCCTTCAATGTACGCAACAGCGTTGCTCTCCGTGCGCAGCGCGGACGGCCTATATTATTTTCTACAATTTTCAAATACAGCTTGGCGTATCAAAACTAAATCATGGCATTATAAATCCTCTTCATAATTCAAAATCTATGAATTTGAATGGTAGGAGAAAGAAAAGCCGCATCGTTTGGTTTTTGCACTGCTACCCGTTTATTTTATGAGGTTTGGCCTACTAAATATTTTTGATAAGAAAAAAATTTAATTTAAGAGAATTTGAAAAGCCAGCTAAGGTCTTCTAAAAGGCTTCGTCAAATATTTTTATTCTACTATCGTTGATAAAGCTCTTTGAAAAGTTTGAAGCAAAAATTGAAAGATTACAAAAGTTACAAAAGTCAAATGTGCTAAAAAGGGTATTCGACATTCCGGCTGCCATCTCATTATTACTAGAAGCAAAGTTAGTTGTGTAGTTAGTGCTCTACGTAGCATTACCCTGCTGAAGGCCACTGGTCCGATCCCACTCTGAGCCTAAATTCTGAGGCAAAAATTCTGCTCACAGTACCAGCGTCAAGGTGTCCTTCCAAAGAAGGGCACGCGACAAGCCGGCTAAGAAACATCCCATCGCATTAAAGTGCAGATATGTATCATACAAAATCTCGAGTAGAGGATAGGGCGTCCCTCGGAAACGACGCGCATTCGAGCACGACGTATGCGAATAGTGGGCGAGGATTCCGTCTTAGCAAGGTGTACGGGAGCGGAGCAACATCATGCCACATCGGAGATGGATATAAGTTCCTCTAACGGTGTCACCACCACCAGAAACGGAGTTGGTATAGTCGTCTCGGAGACTTTAAGCACCAGAAACGGAGTTAGTATAGGCGCCTTGGAGATTCTAAGGAGCAATATTGTTGACATTGGGCGCATAAGTGACTGGTGAGCATAAAGATAGATACTGAGAAACAAGTTCTACGAGTTCACCACCTATGCGCCAAGTTGAAGAGCAATAGTGCCGGGAAGCAAGCACTAGTAAAAACCAGGGTCAAGCGTGGGGTGCGGCACGCCACACCTGGGGGGTCGTAATGAGGAGTCAAAAGGGGAGGGGGTCGTAGTTGGGTAATCTGATAATAGTGATAACGTGATATTCGTATCATATCCATAATTAGCATGTCAATTAACCCC